ATGAAGAACTACACTTGTACATAAAACCAACGAAGAAGGTCAAAGTAATAATGGAGATGATAATTTGTAATAAATTCTAGGATCTCCGTATATTTATGACTTTTGAAGAAATACAATGTACAGTTTGCTACTGGAGGACAAATTTGAAAAACACACATACCCCTACCGGTACATGTGTACTGTATGTAACAAATAACACTCCCACAACTACTATCAACGACTACTGACCCACTTGAGGGAAGTTGAAGGATGCATGGTACTGGAGTCAATGCCAAATGTGCTGCGATTCTTGTACAGTACAAATGTATATGTGTGCATGATGTACCGGTAAAGTACTGCAGTAGTACACTCTACATGTATGTCAAAAAAATAAACAGTTGTGAGTTTTTTTTATACTACAGTACGCAAATTCGCATGTACCGATGGTGACCGTACACATGTACATGTTTAATGTATTTATTATGTTGGACTTCTTGTGTCAAGCTTGAGAGGTTGTGGAAAAAGCTCTGTCATGGGGCTTGCTCACAATGTCAACCTTCATCTATTAATCCAGATGACACACAAGGTGAACATTTGGGGCAGGGAATATAGATCAATTACAGTTCAACAAGACTTTGAGCTTTCTAATCTTGAATCATGTCTTGCACTGAAGTGCTCACAGTCACAGCCAGTAAATCAATGAAGTACTGTACACTACAACACTGTAAAGCAAGGATGCAACCTTGGTGCATACAGTAGATGATGTTAAAGCATAATGGTATCCCCTCCCCCAGCCTGCTAATTTTCACACACTGATCTACATGCAGCCACTATGGTGCAGAACCCAGTGACACACATCACACTCATTATCCTACTGTCTGGTGTGGATCCTTGACCCCTGCACTTGATACAACACAGTATGCCACTGAAGATTACACATCAGACACTAATTGGCCAGCTGTCTTAATTTTTGGCGCTCGCCACTTCCCCTTTGTCTATAGTTGCGGCTGCCTGAATGCGGAAACCCTGTAAAGCCAATTGGGATCTCATTAGGAACATGATATCTGGCTTTTTTGATATCTGATCATTTTTCATGGTACTTGTGAGTCTTTCCAGGGAGATACTGCAGATTTCATTTCCTGCGCAGACTATGAAAGCTGTACTAAAATTGCAATGTACATGTAGTTTCACTTTTACATGTGTGGAGCTGTTTCAAAATATTTATGTAAGTTCACTTTTTTTTTTTCATGCCTGAAATGCTGCACAAACTCTGGCACATTTTGTTTCTCCAAATTGACCTCCTTGGTTTTACACACACAGTAAAAAAGACTAGGGGCAGGACAACTCTAAAACTGCATTTATAAAATGAGATACTGGTACTTGGGTTGAAATCTGAACAAGGGTGTTTGCATTATTTTTGGGAGGCAATAAAACAGAGATCTCAAACATTCTACATGTATAGTCAGATCACACTCAAGAACTGCAAATCAACATCAAATTAACACTCAGAATTCAAAATTAATTTTGCTAAAGAGTGTATTGCAATCTCTTACTGCTCTATGGTCAGCTACCGGTACAGTACATGTACATGTAAGTAAGGACTTGCTGGTGAAGGGATACAAGTACAACAATATCAAAATTATCAGCAATTTGGCTAAAGGCCTGAAGAGCATTTCCCGTGGAAACTCACTTTCTGCTCTATGCTTAGTTAAGTTATACCATATGTTCACATCAATAATAGGTTCCAGAATGTTTTCTGTTTGGTTGTGTCCTGAAATTGCATCACTCATTCTGTGCTCAGTACATGTACCGTAGCTCCTCATGGGTGACAAAGAAAAAGGCAGGGGCAAAATCAATCTCTCGTGGAGTTAGAAAATGAGTTCAATGTTCAGAATTTAATGCAGAAATGTCACACAAAAACTGCAGCATCGGTTCCAACTAAATGTACAATGTACATGTATGGTTGGAACAGCTTCAAATGTATGTGTGTACAGTGTACATGTATAATGTACATTACAGTGTTGTTGGACGATCAAAACTTAAGGCCTTTTCACACTACAGCCTCTCAACCCTGGTTGAACTCAACCCTGGGTGAGCCCATGGCCGCCCTGGGTTGAAAATTGGATTTTCAACCCTGCATTGTTTTGTTTCACACTTGTTTTGTGTGAATTAGGCTTATCGGGGTGAGTTCAACCCGGAAATGAGCACAAACAATTTTCAATCCAGGTTGAAAATCTCAACCCTGGTCTGGAGCAGGGTTGAGTTTAACCCGGGTTGAAGTCCTTATGCCCACAAGGTCAACTCATCTGAAAAATCCAGCTAGGCCTGTGTACACGTATATCACAATCACATCATGGACCATTAAAAAAAATTAAGGCAAAAAATATTACACGCACATATTTTAAAAACTTTTTAAACTTCCATGATTTACTGAAATTGTCATCTTTCCATACTAGTTTTACAACCATATTAGGACACCTCTACTTTTCCTTAATTTTCAAAACTTCTTCACTTTACTAGGTACAGTGTGTACATGAGTTAGTTTAAAATTACATACATTTTTTGTTTAACATTTGAACACCCTTGGGCAAACCAAAGGACTAATTCAAATTTTCTTAAAATTTAAAATACGTGAACGTCTGTGACCGTATCGTCACCAAGTCCTTAATTTTGCCACTTATTATCAAGTCAGATATATTATCACAGTACATGTAAGTGGCAAAAAAAAGGGATTTGGCAACTAGGCAAACATGTACATGTGCCTAGAGAACTCAAGTCACTACTCTGTAATACATGTACATGTACTTTGTGTGACTTTGAGCCAATGTAGTTTACATGGAGTTGTAATGCTATGGTTTCTTAAATCAAATTCTTGAGGGGAAAGATCCACAGTAGGGGATAGCATCTTTACTTGTTTTCATTGTGCAACCGCTGGCATTGGGACGTGGGACATGCATGCACTGCACCGTGTAGCTGTGACAGATTGCAAGATCTTAGAAATTCCCCTGCCTTCAAAAATGGTCGAACCGAGATGCGAAGCAAGCTTGACCATTGGTCTGCTCGATGCATGCGCAATTAACACAAACTGCGTGAATGGTGAAATCGTCGTCGGGTGAAGGCAAGAGATTGGTGAATAAAACTCTTTTTTTTTTTTAAAGAAAACACTCGACCTTATGCTCTGAACTCCGGTAAAAGCACTTTCAAGAGCTTTGGGTACATGTACCTCAAGTTTGCCTTCATGGGAAAATTTGATGCAGAGTGTTGTTCAAGCTGTGTAGATCTTGCACCTCAAGAATTTGATTTAAAAAACCCGCAGCATTACAATTCTATGTAAACTCCATGTACATTGGCTCAAAGTCACACAGAGTATGACAGAGTATCACAAAGTAGTGACTTTGAGTTCTCGAAGTAGTCTACATGTAGGCCTATACCGTTGTGGATGTGTACATAACAAAAAGAACTTGTACACTTATACTACATGTAGCATTACTAGAGCTGATGTATGATACAGATTAGGAGTGGAAAGAGGGGAAGAGTTCCATACATGGACGCCAGTAATTATTCCCTACAGTGACCTACGTATTAGCCATCAGAAAGCAAAAACATGTCCAGAAAAGTTCAATTTAGGAGGGAAAATATGAAGTCGTTTACTTAGAAAACACTTAAAATTTTCCAGACCAGTCTCATAGGGTTTGTGCACGGGTCCACAAGTGGTGTCTGCATACGGTACATGTACGGAACTCTTTTTTTGGAAAAAGTTCCATACGGACGCCAGTAATTATTCCCGACAGTAACAGGTACATTACTCCATCAGAAAGCAAAAACATTCTCTTGGTTAGATATGCGCCAACTTCTGTACCATACTGATTAGCAAGAAGGATAAATTGGCCTCTTTGCCATGTGTTACAATCTGTAGCTAGTGGTAGTCTGGTAGTGACATCATGCCAGCTGTGGGTAGCGAGTTTGACAGAATTATCAGATCACGCAGTTATACATCTGCTAGTGTGTAAAACTTGATGACAAAACCCATGGTAAAAACAGTAATCTCCAACATTTCACCTTAAACTTGTAATCCTCTTGTACATACAAGCACATGCCTATATTTTTCTGTTGTGTTTTTAGACTTTATTTTTTATGAATAAGACATAAAAAATACAAATTCCACCTTTTTTCCCTTTAATTTCAGAAATCCTTGATAAAAATGTAATTAACGTTAAAACAATCAGATAATGGAAATTCAGCTAAGCCTAATTAGGGAAGTATTTGCACTCGTTTTCACTTTCAAGTTTTCAATCACACCACTCCAAAATTGTTTGCTTAACAGTATACATGTGGTGCAAACAATTTTCAACTGAGGTTAATTTGTCTTGAAACCCATAAAATAATGGCCATTTATTGGCCGCAAAGGTCATTCTTGCATGACTGACAGTATTTACAGGCCGTTGTTTTGGTGATGCCAGTTTTGTTCTACTCAATGGAATAAATCTAAATGAAACTTAAGCGAAAGACATATACCCATCATATCACTAACTCCACTAGGCTTAGTAGTATTATATTACAAGCTATGAAGGTGATTAATACACCAATGAACTTCTGTTGAGTTGCTCTTTCTTACCATAGGGTTACCAGACTGTTGTGGTTATTACTGTCATGACTGAAGAAAAAACCTAAATCCATCATGCTCCCTATAAATTTTATAACATCCAGAAAAGTTCAAGTTACATGATTTAGGAGGGAAATCGTTTAGGCCTAGGCCTCCTTAAAAAAAAACGCTTTTTTTAGACCAGTCGCAAAGGGTTTATGCACGGGGTTGTTAAGTAGCGTCCGCATATGGAACTCTTTCCCTGGGAGTGGGTGAAGCCTAGGCTATAACATAATGGACGATAACCAGATAAACTAAAGCACCAGTGGCCATACACGCATGCTTGACTGACACGCCGATTGCCATAGCGCCAGTTTTTTCAACCAATGACAGGAATATGGCGAGACTCAAGGAACAACCATCCTTCGTTTTTACTTACCCGTAAGTCGTATCTTCATTGGACCTTCTCGGCGAGTTGATGGATGTGGCATTGTGGAAACTTGTATGTTTCTGGAGCAAAAAGATAATTCTCTGCCACGTAATTTACAGTATTTTCTTGGTAATCAGCATTCTGTCTTGATCCTTTGCGTAGTCCAGCACCATACTATGTACATGTACTGTACTTCGGGTTTTGTGTACGTAGGTTTGTGTGGCGCACCGCACTTGTGGTCTGCATACCAACTGAACATGTACGTACGTACATGTACATGTACATGCACATGCTAGATAGTGTACAAAAATGTATACGGTGTACCAGACGTTCACACGACTGGTTGCCTATTTCGTCTCGATCGTGTAGTTCATGTCAAAGTCTCATCGCCTCAGGCTGCACCGCTCCTTGTAATGAAAATTTCCATGATCGCAAGAAAATTCATGTTGGAAAAACTGAGTTTATTCAGTTGACATCGTGTCACCTTTTTTGCTTAATTCTATTCAAATATCTACACAAGTATTGTCATCAATATCAACTGTTGGATGGAAATCCATACAGGTTTTACGTCATAAGTAAGTCAATATGCAACTACTGCAAGCAACCATGCATGGAGGTAGAAAAAGACCTCCCTGATGCAACTGTTTGCGGGAGATCACTCATAATCGTTTATATACGGATACCAGCAAAGATATTGCAATCGTGCTGGGCTGCGATATATGTTGCGATGGTAATGAGTGCATATAGTGTTATAATGGTAAAATTTAAGATAAACTAGTCAAGCATGCAGTGTTCACACGTGCGCTTGTACGTCGTTGAAGCTGCCTGAAGGAATAAATTACATGCGATCATTGTGCCCGAGGCGGTCCATACGTACATGTACGTATGTGACGTGGTGGTATTACCATAGAGCTCTATGGTATTACTTATATCATGGGTTGTAGCTCTATGCTTATATATACCGCAATCCAGTCACGGGGGTGAAAAAAAGTATAAATTGCTGCACACTCGCTCGTCGGGACAAATAAGGGTGTCATTTCATTTCTTATATCTCCGGTACTGCAATAAACAACAATAAAAAGAAACAAAAATTAAGAACAAAAACATGGACATAATTATAATACGCTGATAACACCCATGAGAGATTGCCAAAAAGCAAACCCGAAATCACTGTCTCGTGGGCCATCTGTATAGTAATGTTATCATATACCAAAACGTGGAGGACAAATGCAATGATATAAAATTAACCTATTAAGAATAGGAAAAAAATCTAAAAATTGAACAAGCACTCAAACACTAAGACTGAGAATATCATAAGCAAACAAAATTAATATCGACGCATTGACATCACATATACATGTACACATGACTGGCTCCGGACTTGAAGAGGAGAGATGTAGGGTGTCAACTTTTAACAAACTGGGCCGACTTTTTTCAAATTTGTAATCTAATGTATTTTTCACTAGTCAGTGTCATTTTTACCCACACGAAATACAAGCCTTGCGCGGAAACGGTTTATAACAAACTGAACAAACTTGCATTTGAAATAGAGGGCGCACTGCACGTTTCATCACCAGGGATGTGTCTGCACGCCCTTTTATAAAGTTCGATTCGTGGGAATGTTTGATTATAACTCCCCCCCCCCTGCTCTTTTAGGAAGAATCCTGCCGACGCCTATGCATGCTCGAGTTTTGATGAAATAACAAATTTGTTCTTGCAATATGGGGCTCCCTGAATAGAAATTATTCGCGTGTTAACTGGGAAGCACCTTTCACCATGCTTTCACCAACTTCCAACAATAGCCAAGCCGACAAACATGTTTGCATGACAATAACAGTGGCACACCTTGTCAGACTGCGTTTGATCAGGTCACAAAGCTCTGACGGCATAACTTACATAGTGAAAGCAGTAAAGAAAAGGAATATTCATACGCGTACATATGCACGCATTTATTTTATACACCTGTAGTGTGCTACCGCAGATGGTGCATGCATATGTGACTGTCAATTGCTGATTCATCAGGCTGACCAATCGATCTCACAAGTTAAGCGAACGCCAGTTCAAAATATATGTAAACCTTGGTTTACGCATCAAACCTTGGTTGTACCGAAATCTGTACTCCTAGACGGGGAAAAATACCAGGAATCATCATGCCGTGGCATCCTTATACGAAAATCCTGCTGCTCTTGTGTTTCATTGGTCTGATTGCCTTCCTGACTACTGCCATGGGTCTTGGCTCCGATTACTGGCTCATCTATCGCCTGAGTGCTAACGCCACGGCTGATACGAACTCAACCAACGTCAGACTGGCCAGAGCGGGGGTGTGGAGGGTGTGTTATCGGCCAGAGGCGCTTCCTGATGATGGTGAGATGCCATAATGGTATACAATTTTATTGCGATGTTTTTCAAGGTATATAGGCTTTTGCAGTCACTGGTGCTGGCTTTAATTTTTGGCCTCAAATAAGGAATCAAATGAATGTGTTAAACTTTGAAGGTTTTGTGATCAACATTTTATGTGTAGTTTTTTACATATAAAATAATCTGTTTCATTGTCAAAGTAATGTCAAATTCACATTACTTTTTCCCAAAATAAAACTTGAAATACAGAATCTGATTTCAATACACAACTTAAGAATGATAGAATGTTGTGTTTATGCATGTAAAACTGACAGAATTTAATTTTCCCTTTTTTCAGGAAAGCCATGTCATAACATAAATTACCTGTCTGAGGTGGAGAATAGGGACCCTTTATACCAGTATATCTATCCTGTCTATGGAAAAGGTAAATGAAAACTTCTGCATGTCATGAGGTTGTAAATTCTGAAAACTTAGTGCCAAGGAAAACAGATACATGTATATAGAAACTGTGTCATGCTACCAAATACATGTACATGTACATTGTAGTTGATACTGTGTTAGTGGAATTAAATCACCTTGATTGAAATCACCACTTGAAATCGGTATTTAAATAATTATTTTTAAACATTGATTGAGATTAACATTTTATATTTTTAACACAAAAATGTTGCAATTTTCTTCAACTGACGTATATGTTTCCAGGGTTTACATATTTAAAAGTAAAATGTACTTCTCTGAGCTCTTCAGTACCTGCATGTACAGTAGTGATAAGAACTTAAAGTGCACTCATGCAACAGAGCTTTGAATATTTGTTATTGACTTCAAGCCACTTGTTTTGAGTTAAATCAGCTTTTGGGATTCAATGCACATAGAAAATGATTTATCATTATCATATGAATGAATTAAACCAGATTTAAGCATCCACCTCTGAGTTTAACGTGGTAGAGTATCCCTGTACAACTAAGTAATAAATTGAATTAATCAGGTTGTTCTTAATCTCTGTTAAATTAAATTGGGATTTAAATGTTGGATATTACACAGTCAATCCAAAAGCAGTAAGTAACCAAGTTTTCTTAAAACAATGAGTTTTTACCCATTTTTATCATGCTGAAGTCATTAAGTACTAGAACTGGATCTCAGCTTTTAGTTCTGTCGTGAGCAATACCAGTGAGTACATATGTACGTGTACATGTGGTTGATCATACTCGCATTTTTTCACTCAGTGGCCCTTGCATTTTTGCCCCTGGTTAACAAAATCCTGTGATTATACAACAGTTGGGGATTGGCTTAAACCCAGTATTTTATCCTTGGCACATGAGTTGAAGTAATTGTCTACTTGGGTAGATGTAGGTGCTATAATACATTTACATGTATCTAACCAGAGTTTAGACCATCAAAATCTTTCAAGTTAAACATGGCTATTGCTGTCTATACCTGATTTTAAACCAATTACTCGATTTAAATGCATTAATATAAATCACAGTTCGTTTGATTTTGTAACAACAGAAATGTAGAAAAGAACCTAACACACATACAGCCAAATTTGCTTGTATTGGAATAGAGAATTATCATGATTTGAATTTAAAAATCTGATTTAAATTTCTGAAAAAATTCACCAGCCCTGAGTTGATGCGCATGTTTCTTAAGTCCCAAGAGCTCCAGAAAATGTATGTTCAAATTACACATTTTGCTATCACTCGTGAATTTTTTTTTATGAATGAAAAGCGAGAGACTGAATTGTTATGTGAATATTTTTCCACTTTTAAAATTGTTTTTCAGATTTGTTGCTGGGATTTCTGGCTCTTGTTTGTATTGGTGTGGCTCTCATCTTTGTGGCAGAAGTTTTAGCAATGATTTGTCTCAAGAAAAGATCTAAAGCCATGTACATCGGCACAGCAGTGATATTCATCCTAGCAGGTAATTTCATAAAAATCACTTGCATATGTCGTGTGTTGGTTTGATGAATGGAAATGGCGAAACAAGTCTGATCTTATTTTTTTCAAGACTCACATGCAAGTAAAGCTGGCTTAAGTGTCAGCTACTTGGGTAGGTTTTCTTTCTTGTGTGAATTTCCTTATATTTTACTTTAAATTACAGTTCCGGAAGTTCTGTTTGCACTATTTGGTTTTAATTTATTTCTAAACTACAAATATTGTTATCATTCTGTCTGCCATAAGGGGCAGGATGAGTTTGTTGGAAACTGTACTTGATACACAAAAACGATTCCTAATCTTTGTGGTATTGAAATGACATGTAGTTAGATTTAATATTAACATGTACATATACTGGTTCTTCAGTCACTACTTACATGTACATGTAGGTGCAGTTCCAGAAGAGCAAAAAATCTTTGATCTTAATCTCACAATAGAATGTATTTATGTATCAGCCGATTAAATTGAAAGTGAGGTTACCTTTCCATCTCTGGACTCTGGAGCCTGATAGTAAAAATAACAGCAACAAAATAAATATTTGATTACAAAGTAATGCCAATTTACATTTAGAATAATTAAATTCATGCTTAATTTTATCCAAATGTTTAAAGTCACATTTAAGAAAAAACAACTTAAACTGACGCTTGGAACGCAAGTCTGGCACCACCGGAATTAATAGATTACATTGAATAAGATACATTCAGGAAAAAATATAAAAAATGGCTTTCCTGTGAATGAGGTTTATCCATTAGAAAACAATTATTTGCATGTCACTTTTTCATTTTTCTCAGGTATTGTAGGGTCAGCTGGACTGATCATCTTCTCTCTGCGTGGAGCTCAGCTTCTCTATGATTGGCCAAATTCACAATTGGGGGAATCCCCATATGACATGATCTCTTTTGGATGGTCATTTGCAATCACATGGCTCGGTGCTGCTCTGGCCCTGTGTAACAGCACTGGGTATATGTGGTTGGCACGAAGACACTTGGATGCCATGATGTGATCAAGAAACTTTATAATATTTTGCTCATGTTCAAAAGCAGTTTCTGCCCTTACCTTCCTGCTCACTGTTGACAAAGTATCCTGTTATACTGTCTCAATCAATTCATATATCAAGCTATTTGCAGTCTTTTATTAATTTTTCATAGAACTATTTTTGTAAACTGAAACATCCCTTAAAATAGAGCCTGAAAGTAAAAGGTCACACAGCAAGCTTCTGGAACCCTTACGCGGTCTGCCTATGGTGATTTTACATTGGGCCGTCCTATCACATTCAATAATTTTTGGAAAAATAATTCCTTACTGAAACCACCCCATGAAACACTCATGTTGGAATTTTACCTTTGTCTTCCTCCAGTAATATTTTGGAAAGGTCACCTGGAGATGGGTAAAAAAGAATTTTATTAACAACCTTTCACGTCCGACGATATCGTACCTACATGTAGGTCTCCACGTTTGTTTTCTCTTGCTGTGCTTTCTTGAAAATGAGATTGTACGACCTTGCAAAGATTTACCGACCTGCAGTCGATGGGTTCCAGAATCCGTGGAGTTGACATCACACAGTTGTTGTCAGCAAAGGTTAGAAAAAAGATCAGAATCTTTCGTAAAAGTAGAATATTGCTTTATGTTTATCACCTTATAAATTATCAAAATATGCAAATATTTTGATCTGTTTTCTTTTGGTTTTTACCCACAGACTACCATAAAATTTCAACCCCTAAATATTCATCTGCGTATGAGACTGCCGTATTGCACTGTTCTTCATGTATTTTAGATTTTTTGAAGTGATGGGTCAATTTTTGGCAGGATATTTCTCTTTTAGGCCAGGTAATTTTTCAGTTTCTATAAAGTGATATACTAGCACATATTGTTCAAAGATCTTTTCCAAGTTGGATTTTTTAAAAAGAAACTGAACAAAAAATACTACAAATTCTAAAATCTTTGCAAGTTATTTTTCCTATTTAAGGGTTCCGGAAGTGCACCATCAGGGGTCAACTTTCAGGCTCTATTCACGTTTCATTTCAGAAAAAGAGATAGAAAAGAAGAAGACAAAAACCAGCCCAAAAAGTCAAGACAATCGTTGATTACAAACTTTTGTTAATGGTTTTGATATTTAATCACCCGAGCTACAAGCACTTTTTTAAACATTCATGAGGAAAGTAAAGTACCTCTTCATGAAGAGCAGGGTGAGTAAATGCCTGTTGATGGCTTATAACAGCTGCCTTCTGCAAGTTTGATGATTATTCAAATATTGAGATATTTGATATTTGAATATTGAAATATCTCCTTTCCAAATTGAATATTCAAGGTGAAAATCTATAAAATAAAACGGGAAAAAATCCAATCATTTGTTTACAAATCTACATTTTCTAAAGCTTATTACAACGTTTCCCATAAATATAAAGGAGCTATATGCACGTACAGCTGAAAAAAATTTGCGGCTAGTTTTTCTTTTGCATTTTTTGTAAAACCCTGCATTTTTGTTGATGCTTTTGTGGGAATTTGATAGAATTGAATTTTGAAAATATGGTTGAATGGAAGGTTAAATATTCAAATATTGAATTATTCAGTCGATACAGCCTTACTCACCACCTGGTTACTGCATGGGCCCAGCTGAAGTTGAAAATTTTGTAAGGTTAAGTGCTTCAACCATTCAAGCCCAGCTTTACATGGCACAATTCAACTATTTGATTGGGTTCAAGTGAAAATCCTTATATCCTTACTAGACTGTTAATATCCAGAAGGTTGACACATAGCACCTAGGTACTATTAAGTATTATCAAGGAAACCAACATCGGACAACAGAAAGTCCCACTAAAATGCTTAATCCAGTAACAGTTGCCAACGACCATTTAACACTGTCGACCATAATAAATAAAGGTAAAACTGAGGGGGGGAGGGGAATAGAAAAATCCTGTCTTTATTTTGAAGTTGCCATAAGTTATTTAGATTTTCTTTTGGTTTCAAGTTGTATGAATAATTTTTAGTTTAGTTGTTTAAATATTAACTTTTTAAATCAAGAATGAAAACTATTTGAGGGACAGTGTTGGTTGTTTTACCTTCCAGGAGCAACTGCATTGAGGTGAAACAGTGATAGTAAGATTGAATTGTGAAATACATGTACATGTATGGACACTATGCTTGAGTCCTGCAGCAGTGTTTAATTTATATACTATTTGACTAGTCTTGCGATACCAAAGCAGGTTGAATTTGAAGCACTGTGATGTGTATACCAAGATGTAAAAATCCAAGTGTACTTCTTTGCAATATGGAATTACAATATGTCAAAATGTTGCTGTATTTGGTTGTATTTTTGACAAAGTGCCTTTTTTCAAGATGTAAATAAAATTTACAATTCAGTTTAGACCTTTACATTGTTCTATTAAAATATTGTGCTTTGTAAGATGCAGAATTTATTTACATATTACTGAAATATTTTTGCTTTGTAGAGAATAAATTTTGCCTTGTGCTTCATAACTTTAGCCTCCCCTTTTTGTATCATTTAGTTATGCTGGGATTAATTGAACTGATTCTTGTGCAAAAAGAGTGAAGTTCTTCGACCATGTCTATTATCTTGACGGAAACAAATTTATACCAGGTTGGTTAACTGATTAGATGCATTGTTTGAAGAAGTCTAACCATCCAGAAACAAAACTGAACAACTGTCTTATTTGAAGAAATATGGTTTATTTTATCTTCAAAACATTAACTGGATTAATGCAAAAATGTGAACAAAATGAACCATTCTGATAAAGCCACCTCTTATTGAAATTAATGGTAACTGGAGGTGCAGGGTTAACCATTTGTACAGGAGCCTTGATATCCGCCCTGAGCTGAAGTGCACCCTCACCGGCCAAAGAAAGACAGATGGTTAAAGTTTTCCAACCGGGTTCTTGCACATTGTTTAGCGTGCACACGAAGACCACACATCCCACACTAAGTTTGTTGTGCGTACTCAGCGTGCTCTGCATCAAAAGCACGTAAACTTGCGCGCCTATGCAGTGAGTACTAAAAGACTGTCAAATTCATTCAAAACATGCCCTCTTTTGTTTCTGCTCAGAGCAGATAGGTGAAGACACTGGGGTTTCTAGTTCAATCGTTCACTTGGCGAATCTCTAAAAATTACACTGACCTGTGCACGTTTATTTCTTTACATACACAAATATCAGTCATCTAACCACAACCAAACCAGTTGAAGAATGTTGCATATATGTCAAAAATTGCCATGCCACCAAAAACTCACATTTCCGATATTCCATTCAAAATGACGATGATGTATGTACAAAGCCATTGTCAATGCATGGACTACACTGGGCAAAAGGTAAATCTATTGACTTTGTAAATAAAAAAAGTTGAATCAACACAAAGTCCAAATGTTATATCAGAGTGAAATCAATTTGTTGACATTAAGTTTTGGGCAAACAGAAAGAAATATGCTTGTGTGGTTGTATATCTTAGGGGGTACCAAAGAAACTAAACTGACCATCAGGAAGGTTAAAAAGTATAAACAGAACAGGAGATCAACATGGTTTCCAGGTAACTACAGTAGTTATGAAAGTTGATTTTATCACGTATACTGTGATGGCTCTGGATCAGTTACAATTGGAACATTAGCTTATGTCCACTTGGAATGGAATACATTTACTCCCCTTTCTGTTGAGCCTTTAAAAATTTTGTTGCCAGTGATCCCCAAATAAAAAGACTATAGACACAAGAACACTCTCCTACAGAGGCATGCAACTCACTAATTTCCTAGTTTTCACCTCTATCAGTGCCACTGAAACATGACAAATAGAAGCACACCCTCTGCAGTCAGGATCCACTTGGGTTGTCTGCTGAATCAAGACTGGTTGAGATGTACCAATATACTTTAAGAAATGATCCATGCAAACTCTGATTCAATAAATACCATTCAGACTGTGATAATTTAAGAATAATTCAGCACTGTGGTAGTTTATCATGCCAAATCCACTTCATTCCCCGTCCCCACCTTCAACAACCTAATAGAAGTGAAGACAATTTCCATTTAAAAAGTCTGCCCACTGTTACACCTTTTACCGATGATTGACATCAACAACTTCAGTGGTCGACCTAGTGGAAACTGCTGACCACTATTTTACTGCTGTGTTTTCCAAAATAAATACCTAGAGATGTGCAGATGTAGACAAACCATTCTCTTTGTACATAATGCAAATTTGACATGCAACTCTTGCCACATCATGCTCAGGATGAATTAATACCGACTGACGTATCAAAGGTATTTTTTCAAATTGCTACATGCTTTCCGTAACAGAAATCCCTTGGGAAAAAATATTAAAACTGAAATCTTTGTAACATCTCTTTCAGAGTCAGATACCAGCCAAAGAACAAACTTTGACACTTCTTTGACCCTCTCAGTACCACACTGTAAACATGGGGAAATTTGGATCCTAAACACTCTCACATCAGTGACATTTCATGTGTAGTACCTGAATATGGCAGAAAACCTATAACATCTGAGTTATGTGCATGGGTGTGGAGGGGTCTTGATCAACATTGTTATGAGATATCTTCAAGCCAGAAGCAGTTCCCCCTATTTACAGCTGTGGTTCTGCCCATTTTATTAAAATGTAATACAAAAGTATACATATTCACCATCTAAAGGCCAGTTCACACTTGGTATAAAAGTACCAAAATTGTGACGTCAGATCAAATATTTGTGCTGTGTATTTGTAAAAGTTGAAGACATCAAATTCATGCCAATTTCACTGCAAATGTTTTGTGATGTCAAATCTGCTTTGCTTTTGCATTTTCCTGAAGTATGAACCGGCCTTCAAGGGAAGGATTGTCCCAACTTCCTCATCAAACTGCCCTATCTCTTAACTTCCATTTCTTTTATAAATTGCTTCACTTTTTGTACACAGTGACTCTAAATAATTTTGCACACCTTCTATCATTGGCTCTTGTAGTATCTGTAGAACACTACGCCTCCGATGGCCACCACAGCTGCACAGATGCCAACCTTGAGCCAGACGGAGTGAGATTCTTGGGACACTCCTTTCAGATGCCTGCAAAGAGGGTGAAAGTAAGGAGGTAAGCTTGAAGGCTAAGAATTTGATTCTGGTTTGTGTAATAAGTAGAACTGTAAACCTAAACAGAGTAATTCTGTGGAAGATGCAGAGGGGACAGCAGAGATCTTCATCCTTCAGTTTAAAAAAATGCCACCAATTGACTCAGCAAAGTAAATGATCTACTATATCAACAGTGTTTCTCCGAGTACTTGCAAGAGTAACTTACAAGTAAAATCATGACAAATATGACAATTGGGTCCTTTTCCCCTGTGACGCTGTACCAAGCATCTCCACTAACTGTTTCATGCACAGTACTGCTGCATGCCTCAAAACTGTGCACATCATTAAAGCTTAATCACTGGTGACACATAAACATAAATCTGGGTAAAGCACACTTTAAAGGCTGGAAGTTTACTCAAATTTCTTCATAAGCATTCACAAATAGTTTGTGCCAAAAATATGCTTTACAAAAATATGCACAAAATAAAATAAAGCATACATATAAAACGTTGGACAGAAATAATTTCTGTTCAAATCATGATCACATACATGCATCCATGTTTCATAAAGTGTTTTTGTTGGAAGGACCGATGCAAAAAGTAGCAAAATATATTATTTCAAACTCAGCCTAGTGAATCAGACACTTAAGTGAAAAACATTTTGTTTAGCTGTTGAATTCGGCAGGCTTCACACATTGCTGTTGTTGATATTGTAGGATTCAGGGAGATGGTACCTCCGGTTTAAGATGGCTGTTTAATCTTGCAAACCTGTTTGCTGTCGAGTAATTTCCTGATGACTTTATTTCCTTGAGTAAGCCAAAACTTCACTGATAAGAGGTCCTTCAGACTTTGCAGATTACATTGTTATTACAGGAAACATGAATTATCAGGAGTGAAAACAACAGAGAAACAAAGATCGGGATCTTAAAATGTTCTTGTAATGAGCAGAATGTTTTCTTAACAGCGCTTCATTAACAAAATTTGACTCTATAGGTGGCAAATCTTGAGTGATGCATCCTTAAGCTTAGGACATTTGGGTTTTCTCCACATATTTCTGTTGACGTGATGTAAATCAATTAGTCTAACCCCTAATTGTGTGTGATAAACAGTACTGCGATTGGAGGATCCAAAAGTATTGGGGTAAACCCAGTCTACTTCTGGCACAATGCAAAGCAACCGTTCATCACAATGCAACATCACAAAAACTACAGGCACATCCATAATTAAAAATGGTCCATGTAGCTTCACATGCTCTTCACAGAGTGTTCATGATGCAAGCATTTAAAAAATCAACACAATCAGGTCAAAAAACACCGACGACAAACCAAGCTGTTTCCAATCTGGAACACATGCCAAGAAAAGCAAAAACATACAACAGACAGAGAAAGAGTGACAGAAAGTGGTAGGAGCAGAAAAGATCACAAAGTGAACAGATACTATCAACAGAATAAAGGTAGACTAAGAGGTAAAAAGAGAAGTATTCAAATGGAAAAGGATCTATGAGAAAGTGAAAATAAGCTATGAAGTGGGTGATAGAGGGGGGACGTTTAATAAAAATGGGTAACCACTACTAAAGCAAAAACAATTCCAAAAAATAAATAAATGCATAAACACCACAGGAAATTTGTTATTTCTTTGGGAAAAAGAGGATGAGACATGGGTGCAGGAGATAGGTAGTGTGAGGCTAGGTTTATAAAAGACCAGCAAAAGGAGATGTATAATAAGCACATTGACAAAAGGGGTAAGACACAGTGAGAGAAGGGG